CTCCGGTGGCCTTCACCCTCTCTCCCTCAAATAATGACAGCTAGAGTTTCCGAGCTGCTTCCAACCAGCCGGGCTGGGGCCTAAGCCCTCCACATACAATGAACTCATCTAACTCCTTCATGGTAATAAGGGCAGCACTGCTGTTATCCCTGTTGGACAGGTGAGGAACATGAGGCCCCGATAATTTCAAGACATGTGTGTCCGCTGTGCACCAGAAATCTATCCTCTCTCGCCTGCCCTTCACTGCTCTCTAGGCTCCAGGAAGGAAGAGCAATACTGCAGGGCTCCTCTCCTGTTCCTATCAGCTCCGGGCAGGCACCCAATCGGAGGCACTAACCCTGGGGTTTGAGTGAAGTCTAGAAGACAGGTTACACACTGCCATTGGGGGCAGTCACTCTCCTTAGAGGCAGCCACTGCGCTGCTGTGGTCTAAAAGTTTGAGGCCCTAGATTGTGGAGGACACTTAACATACTTTGAAGCTTTCTGACCCTCCCAACTCTGTATTCTTCCTTTGTGCCCAGATAATTTCCTGCACCCCAGTTTTTAACCACATCTTCTCTGATCATTTTGTAGGAGCTGACCTATTTTTTTGTCAGCTTAAACTTAGACATACCTGGGAAGAGGGAATCTTAATTAGGAAAAGGCCTCCACAAGGCTGCAAAAGGCCTGTAGGCAAGTCTGTGGGGGTATCGTCTGGACTAGTGACTTATGTTGGGGTGGGGCCCTGCCCATTTGGGGGTAGTGCCACCCCTAGGCAGATGGTCCTCGATGGTATAAGAAAGCAGGTTCAGCAAGCCATGGGAGCAAGCCAGTAAGCAGCACTCCTCCACGACCTCTGTATCAGCTTCTGCCTCCAGGTTCCTGTCCTGCTTGAGTTCCTACCTCAACTTCCCTGATTGATGGACTGTGATCAGGACATGTAAGACAAATAAACCCTTTCCTTTCCAGTATGCTTTTAGTCATGGTGTTTTATCATAGTGGTAGAAACCCTAAGACAGAGACACAGGTGAGAAAGATCTGGATGAGTGGAGCCCTCCTCTCTCTTTCTCCCCTAGCTAGGGCTACCTACTCCTTGGCAGTCCCTTCGTGCTTCAGGTCTGCTGTTGGTGTCAATATCAACCCATGGTTTTCCTAAGCATGACTCTTCAGATAGCATCCAGAACCCGGGTTGGAAGAAGGTGGCAATGACTTTCTGCCTGCATTTTTTCAACTCCATGGTCCTCTCCTTATTCCCTGCCATCCCCAGGGAGGAAAAAAAAAAAAAATCCCCACCCCAACAATTAACACAAGCTTCCAGATTAAAAAAAAAAAATCTTGGGGGCTGGAGAGATGGCTCAGAGGTTAAGAGCACTGACTGTTCTTCCGAGGTCCTGAGTTCAATTCCCAGCAACCACACAGTGGCTAATAACCATCTATTATGAGATCTGGTGCCCTCTTCTGGCATGTAGGCAGACAACTGTATAAATAATAAATAAATCTTAAAAAAAATATATTAAAAAAAAAAATCCCCGGCTGAGACCTGCTCAGAGTATAATGTCCCCTTCCCAAACCCAGAGCGGCCTCTACATTAGGGTCCTTACCCCAAGTCTCATGGATTTTTGCAGGCCAGAGCTGTGCAAGGGCAGGGCCAGGGTGGGGCCCTGAAGGTCCTCTGCAGTAGGAGTTTGATTTTAATGCCTCCAGAAAATCATAAGGTCCATTTGCTCAATCTTCATAGCTGCCGCAGGTGAGGAAACAGGTCTGCCCCATATGAGGTATGGAGTAGCCCCCGAAACATCAAGTTGCCCCAGCCCCTTCCACTTACAGTTCTGGATTCGGTTGGCTCAGCCACTGGGGTTCCGCCTCCTGGCCAACTGTACTGTAGCGGTGTGGCTCTGGCCAGTCCCCTTTTCAAACCTACCTCCATCCCAAAAACTGTGCTTATCTCCAGACCCAAAAAGACTAGTAAGGTCCCATAATATATGATGAATGTCACAGTTTCCTCAGCCTGGTCCTCATCTTTTGCTCAGCTCTGAAAGCCCCCTGGCTCCGACTTCAGACCCTCCCCATCCTGTACTGGGGCTCAAACTGAGCATCCCTCTCGGGCTAAGAACCCTCGGCCTTCAAAGAACTTTTTGAAGTTTTTAATTGTTTTTACAATCATTTGCTGATTTACAGTGTGGGCACATGTGAACAGAGACCGATTTGTGGGAATTGGGAGAACAAACTTACATCATCAGCTTAGCTGCAAGCGCATCTACCCACACTGAGCCATCTCACAGCCTCAGAGAGATCTTCATGGAAAGAAATATTAAGTCACTTTGTTTGTTTGTATTTTGAAACAGCGTCTCTTCCAGCCCAACCTGACATCCAACTCACTCTGACCCCAACTCCAGGCTGCTCTTAAACTTCTGATCCTCCTGCCCCAACCTCCCAAGCTGAGATTAAAACCTCCCAAACTGAGATTCCCCACCCCCAAATTTTGTTTGGTTTGGCTTGTGTTTGTGTGTGTGTGTGTTTTTCTGATAAGGTTCTCACGTGTGAAGCCCTGGCTGTCTTGGAACTTGCGCTATATACCACCCTGAGCTCTACCTCCCAGACCACCCCATGACCCTGCTTCTCCAGAGCTAGGACTAAGGCATGCTGGGATGCACATTACACAACTTTACTTTTTTAAAAGACCCTCCCCCATTTTTAAAAGATGTTCCAATTTTTAGATTTTTTTTTTTTTTTTTTTGAGACAATGTTTCTCTGTGTAGCCTTGGCTGTCCTAGACTCACTTTGTAGACCAGGCTGGCCTTGAACTCACAGAGATCCACCTGCCTCTGCCTCCCTGAGTGCTAGGATTACAGATGTGCACCACCAGGCAGGCTGGATCCAACTTCCTTAAGGGGGGGGAGAGAAAAAAATAGATGATGAAGGGAGGGTAGGACTGGGAGGGAGTGAGGAAGAGGGCTACAACTGAAATACCAAGTTAATAAACTGTAATTAATATAAAAAATAAAAATTTAATAAAAAAAAGAGATTGATTTTCTGTAAAAAAAAAAAGTTAGGTATGACTAAAGAGATGGTCCAGAGGTAAAGGTGCTGTGTAGACAAGGATGACCTTGAACTCCTGATTCTTCTGCTCTACCTCCCAGGTACCTAGCATTACTATTCATGCCCATGCCTGAAAAAACAAACAAACCTTTTTGTTTGCACATGCTAAATAAGCACTTTGCCATTCAGCTACATATTTAGCATCTGAATTTTTGAGAAATTAAGAAATAATAATATAGCTGGGCAGTGGTGGTACACACCTTTGATTCCATCATTCCTGGAGGAGGCAGAGGCAGGTGGATCTGAGTTCCAGGCCAACCTCCAGGACAGCCATGGCTACACAGAGAAACCCTATCTAAAAAAGAAAAAAAAAATCATTTTAAATGTGAGCAGAATACAATCATATAAATGGCTATCAGCTGATATCTGCCATGTTATTAAAGATTATGGCTGGGGCACAGCCCAGTGGCAGAGTCTTGTCTCAAATGTTCAGGGTTCTGGGTTCGATTTGTAGTTCCACAGTAAGACAAAATAAAACTACATCTGTGTCAGAGACATGTAAAGACCCTGTCTTTCTTTTGTTTTGTCTTATTTTGTTTTGTTTTTCAAGACAGGGTTTCTCTGGGTATCTCTGGATTTCCTGGAAGTCACTCTGTAGATCAGGCTGGCCTCGAACTCAGAGAGATCTGCCTGCCTCTGCATTCTGAGTGCTGGGATTAAAGGTGTGTGTCATCAGTCCCTTAGTCTTTTGAAGTCAGGGCTCCCTTCAGAGCAGCAGTGTGTGTATGTGCCCTCGGAATATATTCAGATCCAAGCGTGACTTAGGACAAGGACAATTCCTTGTGGTGCCATTACAGCAGAGGCCAAGTCGCCACTGTCAGCCTGGGAGGCCCTGAGAGTGCTGGGCAAATTCTGAGTTTTCATCCCTAGTATCTCCCGGACTTCCAGCACTTGGTCCCAGCTTAAAAGGAAAACTCAGTGTGAAAGAGGCCAGCAGGCAACAGACAGGACAAAAACACATGGTCACATGATTTCATTTTCTGCCTTAGTTTATTTATCTTGGATTGGTCCAGAGGCCAGGTTCACATTCAACATGCAAGAACTATAGAAAGTCTCACATTCCACCCACCCACCCACTCACTCATGATCAAGGACGGAACTGTCTGGAGATAGAGGGAAGAGGCCCCACTTTGCAGGTGGGGAGACTGATGCCCAGAGGTAGCTGTCCCTGTCACCTGCCACCGTTGCCTCTTCCTGTCATTGCTCACCCATTAGGACCTTGCGTTCTCTTGGCACCCAGAACCAAAACAAAAGGTTCCACTACCTTAACTACTGCCCCACCCAATACACGTTTCCAAGGCATGAAGCCTCTGCTTCGGCCTGTCAACCCTTGTTCAAAGGGGCCACAGTAAAAGAAGAGTATAGTCAACCATCCTAAGAGCTTCAGGAGGCTGGACTGACACTGTCCTCTGTACGACTGGAAAGCTGAGCTCTAGCTCCTCTGGACAGGCTGATTTCAGAAAAACAAAACAAACCAATTGGACATTCATTGCTGCTGAGGCAAGGTAGGCACAGCCAGGGAGAGGTGAAGAGAAGGGAGGTCCCCTCCCCCACGGCCTTGGTTCCTTTCAACCGAAGTTTAAATCAGTATGGATTTCAGCCTCCCTCCTCACAGTAGAGCACTATGGTGGGTTTTGCAATTCTCCTAATCTTCATAGAGTTCTACATTGTCACTCTCTCCTACCTCCCACAGAGACAAAGACAGGGTTCAAAAAGACCCTTCCTTCTTTCTTTCCTTCTTTCCTTCTTTCCTTCCTCCCTCCCTCCCTCCCTCCCTCCCTCCCTCCCTCCCTTCCTTCCTTCCTTCCTTCCTCCCGTATTTCTCCCTGTAGCCCTGGCTCTCCTGGAACTCACTAGATCCACCTGCCTCTGCCTCTTGGTCAACCCCTTGAGTGCTGGGGTTAAAGGCCTGCACCACCAGCATCTTGCTAAGAGGATAGTTTTATTTTTCTTTATCCCCACTCCCACCCTTGCCATAGGCTCCACCACCATGCCAGTTCCCTTCCCAATACCCATTCTCCACCAAGTGTCCTGACCAGACAGCAGCACATGGGCGAAGGAAGGCTGAAGCGGCCAATAACTCTCCTATTGGAGGATGGGTGTGCAACTCAGTGGTAGGACATTTGCCTAGCATGCACAGGGCTCTGGGCTCAATCCCTTGTACTGTAATTAGCAAAACAAACAAAAAGCAACCACCCCAAACAAAAAAACTCTTACCAAAAAGCCAACATCGGGGAGAGCAGTCTTAGCAGACAGGGCAAGGTCTGGATTAAATAAGGGGAAGGGATAGGAAAGGTAGCTAGGGAAATCCAGGAGAATGGGTTAGCTACAACCCTCAGATACAGGACAGCGAGACAGGCTTCTTTCTCCAGGAAGCTGTGAGACGCAGGACAGAACAAGGCTGGGGTAGACTCTGGGAACACAGGGGATGGGTGGATGCCCTACAGGAGCAATTGAACGTATGTTTGCACACACCTGCTCTAAAGTCTTTCTGCAAATACACACGTTCCCAGGACATGCTTCCTATGCTGGCACAAACACAAGTCTCAACACACAAAGGCTCATTCATACCGAACACAAGCTCGTATATTCAAACTCATATATACGCATACATATCTTTTGCCTGTATACCTTATTCCAGAATAAGTGGGTACCTGGCCACACATGCATACATAAACATACATGCCACATATAACACATATAAGTTCATTCACACATGCCTGGACATAACCTGCCTACCTGTTAGCACATCCATAACTCACTTACACTCATGCCAACTAATACTCATGTATTTACTTGTGCCTAACCACAGGCCTGCAAGCATACACACTTGCGCACACCCTTAGCCCTGGTCCTGGGGCCTGCAAGGTGCTTCCCTCTGTTGGAGACAGCGGATAAGTTCCTTTCGGTTGTCTAGGATGGTGTCAAAGCTCTCCTGCAGTCGGGCCTGCTGGTCCACCAACTGGTGCTGCAGAGCCCGGATCCACTGGAGCAGCGCCAAGCGACGGTACATCACCAAGTGCACATGGTGCTTCTCCTTCTCCTGCTCTTTGTAGCGCGCCTGAGCCTGCAGCTGCAGCACAGCCTGGGCCACAGAGGGCAGCAGGGGGTCCAGGGGCCTCGGGCCTCGAGGGCTCTCGGAGATGGGCTCTGGACTGCTGCTAAGGCTGTCGATGCTCAAGGAACTGCTGGCATAGCCCACGTCCTCCAGGGGGGAGCAGATGCTGCTGGCGCTGCTCAACTTCTCAGGCTCAGCCCCAGGAATCTCCGCACCCTCTGGGGGGCTGCGCACTCCGGCCTCGGGGAGCCCAGGGGCTTGGAAGACCTGGTTATCAGAGGGCGACTCGGAGGAGCTCCTCATCAGGGTGGGTTCCACTTTGCCGGGCACACCATGCCAGTTCTTGTTGGCATCTTTAGCACTCTCCACAAAGTTGGAATTATTGTCTGGTTGGAGCTCTGGCTGACATACTCCGGGAGGCAGGCCCCCCAGGTACTGGGCCCCCTCTGCTAGTCCTGGCTGGATGGCAGCAAACATCTGGTCTGCGAAGAGGAAGCAGAGGAGCGAGTCACAGCAGGACAAGGTGAAGTGGCAACCTTGAGTGCAGTAACCTCTTCACGGCCCCCCCTCCTTCTCTCTAATTAATTTAGTCTGTTTCCCTCAGAGGGTTTTTCCTTTAAAGCTTTCTCGTAATTTTCTTTCTATTTATTTATTTGTTTGTTTGTTATTTATTTATTATGTATACAATGTTCTGCCTACAAGTATGTCTGCACAGGAGAAGAGGGCACCAGATCTCACTCTATGGCCACCCTGTGGTTGCTGGGAATTGAACTCAGGACCTCTGGAAGAGCATCCAGTGCTCTTAGCCATTGAGCCACCTCTCCAGCCCCTTCGTTTTCATTCTACATACTTCTCCTCAGAGAACTTTACTTAGTTTTATTTGTTTGTTTTGTTTCTACATAGGGTTTCTCTCTGTAGAAACCTGGATTATCCTAGACTTGCTTTGTAGACCAGGCTGGCCTCAAACTCGCTGCGATCCGCCTGCCTCTGCCTCCCAGAGTGCTGGGATTAAAGGTGTGCGCCCCTGCACCCGGCTCTCCTCTTCAGGGTCCTCAGGCAAGAGAGCTCTGCTACCTTGTTAAGTCATGCTAGCCAGATGCCTAAAGCACCCTGGACTATGTACCCTCCTTCGTCGCCCCGCCTCACTGCCACATTCTGACAACTCCTCTTCACGCTCACTTGGCTCTGGTCATTTTTACCCAGATGATTGCCACGGCCTTTTCACTCACCCACCTCCAACTAAAAACTTAAATTTAGGGGCTGGAGAGAGAGATGGTTCGGCAGTTAAGAGCACTGGTTGCTCTTCTGGAGGTCTCATGTTCCATCCTCAGCACCCAAGTCAGGTGGTTCACAACTCAACTACCTGTAACGTCAGCTCCATACCAACACCCTCTCCTGGCCTCTTCGTTCACCCACAGGCAGGCGTGCTCGAGTACACACACAGGCGCACACTCACATATATGCTGACTTAAAAAAAATTTTTTTTAAAAAGATGCTCCGTTAAATAACAACAAATAATATTTAAAAAAAAACATATATCTATATCTACACAGACATATACAGATTTCACAGGGGTCGAGTAAGACCATCGGAAAACAAATATTTACATTACCATCCATAATTGTGGCAAAATTTCAGTTATGAAGTAGCAACGAAAGCTGGGTGGTGGCGGTGGTGGTGATGTGGCACAAACCTTTAATCCCAGCACTTGGGAGGCAGGGTGAGTTGGTAGACCAGGCTGGTTTACAGAGTGAGTTCTAGGACAGCTAGGGCTACACAGAGAAAGCCCTGTCTCAAAAAACCAATCAACCAAACAAACAAACAAACAAACTTACTAACACACCTAAAAGAAGTAGCAACAAAAATAACCTTATGGTCAGGGCCCACCACAACATGAACTGTAAAGGGTCGCAGCATTAGGAAGGCTGAGAACCGCAGCAGGTGTTAGTGTTTACCTGCTGAAAGTGAACGAGAGGGGCTTCCGTTGGATTCCCGTACTTAGGAGAACACGGTAATAGTAGCAGAGGATCTAGGGCTTGAACTTGTCTCTTTCCTCTCCTCCACACTAAGGAACCCCTTTTCTGAGGAGAACCCACAATGACAAGCCTCTTGCAAGTCTGTCCCTTCCCCTCCCACTGCTCCTGGGACACGTTCACTGCAAGTCTGCTCCATCCTGAGCCCTCCCCACTCCTTCCCTAACTTTTGAACTTGAACTGGCAAGAGATTCTACTGACCACCTTCCTATGAGTGGAAGAACGGAGGACTCAAGAATGAGAAATACTATTAAATCAATCAAACAGCCACTGGGAAGGTTCCCCTATAGGTGGCAGGGACCCTCCTCCCCACACCCAGCAAAGGGCAGAAGCCATGAAGAGAGTGAGGTTGGGACAGGCATCTCACCCTTTTGGCTTGTGAGAAAAAGCCTGAAAGTCATGTCCCTCTCCCTCCCCCTTCATTTTAAATTTTTTCCTAAGTCTGGCCAGGCTCATTAAGGAAGCTGGGGTGGGGTGGGAGTTGGGCTAAGGATATAGGTTCAAAAAAAGAGTCAGTGAAGTATGAGTTCAGACATCCCAGGAGCAGGATTTCCCCCAAACCAATCCAGTGTAGGGGTAAGGGGCTGGCTACAGGATGGGAATTGGCATTTTAGCAGGAAGACAGAGCACTGTGACTCTAATCTCTGCAGAGGTGGCTCCCCGACCCGCTCTCCCGCGGCTGGGCCCCAAGCCCTCCATCAGGCCCGGACTCACAGCCTGGAGACTCCCTCTCCGGTGGGGCTGGCTACGGTTCTTCCGGACCTGCTTGCTGCGGGCTTGGGGTGGGGTCCTCCGCCTGCGGTAGCTCCTGTAGAGGCGTGGCTGCTTGGTCCCCGCACACAGCTCCCAGCCCCAGCCCCGGCCTCGGCCCCGGACTGCAGAGTCCAGCGACGTCTGCGCGGCGGGGCGGGGCGGCCTGACCCACGTGGGCCGGTTCGGTTCTCCCCGCAGGAACTGACTCCTCCCGCGGCTTGACCCCAGGGCCTTCCAGGTCCGGTGTCATCGCCTAACCTCCCTGGCCCGGCGACAGAGATCCATGGGTTCACCTGGCTGCAGACATGGCGACCAAAGCCTCCTTCCCGGGTTTCCCAGTGGCTCAGAAATCCGTGAAGCCGCGGTGGTGCGCATCCGGTCCTGCCGACCTTACCCTGCCCCACGCTCCGCTCCTTTTGTGTTTTGCACACACCTTTCTGCCCAAAAAAATCCTCACTTCATCTCCACTTAGATCTTTGAGGACCCTCCTGCCGCCTAGACCTGGTTATTCCCTCTTCTATCCTGTGTCAGACGGAGAAAAAAAAAAAAAAAAAAAAAGCCTTCACAACGTTTCTTACTGTACCATGCCTATCTGATTAAATTCACCTAGTGAAAGCTTTGTGTATTTTATTGTTTTGTTTGTTTGTTGTTTTGAGACAGTGTCTCATTATGTAGCTCTGGCTGTCCTGGAAAGCACTATGTTGAGCAAGGCCTGCCAGTCTCTGCCTCCAGAGGCAGGGATTAAAGGCATACTCCATCACCACCCGGCCTCTGTTCTCATGTTAAGGTTTTATTTTTTATTTAGGTATCTGTGTTTGTGTCCCTCTTTGTGCGTGTGCAGCTATGGATGGGAACCCCGGTCCGGGTAAGAAACAGTTCTTCCTTTAGACATGAAATTAAAAGACAAAATGGTGACGATTGGAGTCTGGGGTTTGCAGGAATCCTATTTCCTGCCAGGTGGAAGAGGCCAGTCTGTACAGTAGGAAAAAAAACGATACTGACATATAGGGCAGAGACAAAGGCACACAGCTGGCTAAGGCCCCAGTTTCTGTTTCCTGAGTTTCTAGAGTTCTGTTTTGTTTTTCTCTGTGTAACCTTCACTGTCCTGGGGACTTGCTTTGTAGACCAGGCTGGCCTCGAACTCACAGAGATCTGCCTGACTCTGCCTCCCCAAGTGCTGGGATTACAGGCTCGCTCCACCACAACGGGCTGAGTTTCTAGTTGTGATGCCTTCTCCTCAAGTTCGTATCTCACTATGCCCAACCTGAGTGGAACTTATCTCATTGATAATCAGAAGATTCTTGAATTAATACCCTAGCACGACGAGGTCACCCCAGCTTCTAATCAAGCGTTTCTGCTGTGTAGCTGTTTACCCTGAACTGACGCATGAGAGGGCAATGAGCTTCGGAAGCTGATGATTCCCAGGGTCCCTCTTCCCAAGGTAATGAATGCAGTGAAGAGTTCCTGGGGCAACAGACTCTCTTCAGTGAGGCTGCCTGTGAGTTGTGCTAGAAGCCCAGGGATGTAGATTTTCTGAGTGGTCATCCATGCTGGACTAGGCTTTTCAGTGATCTAGCTACCTTCAAGTCATCAATGCCCCTGTGAGCGAGCCCAGACCCGTAAGCAAACCCCAATCAAGTCATCTGGTTCACCAAGCTAGACCTTGATGGGACTGTTTCTTTAGTCTGGCATCATGGCCCTCTCTAGTGGGAATAGACGCCTGCTCACATCTCCTCGGACAAAGTCAGACAATCGCTTAACCCTCAGTAAGCAGCTCATTTCCCCTTGATAGTCACCGTCAGGCCCATTCATCCAGTGACCCACCATCACGCAGAAGTGGGAGGGGCCTGAAATGCAAAGAAACCATCGCCTTGGTCCTGGCTAGAAGCATTGTTCCCTAGACACCCAAACTTTCTGGCCTGCAGAACCTAGAATCTCAGAGACAACAGGAAAACTTGCCAAGTCTTCAGGTGCGACCACACGCAAGGTGCCATCTTCCACTACGTTTTCATACAAATTCTGACTTCAAGACGCAGAATTACATGTTGGGTACTTGTAGTCTCAGCTATTTAGAAGGCTGAGGCAGGAAGAACACTTGAGATCAAGGGTTGGGAGGCCAGCCTGGACATCATAGTAAACAGATGTATAAACCAAGGCCAGGGAGGTTGAGAGCACTTGCTGTTCTTGAAAGAGGACCATTGTTTGGTTCCTAGTACCCAACATGGTAGCTCACAACTGGCTGTAATTTCACTTCCAGGGGATCAGATGCCCTCTTCTGGCCTCTACATGCACATGATACAAGCAAACAGTTATCTACATAAAGGTAAATACATCTTAAAAAGAATTATATATAGGGGCTGAAGAGCTAGCTCAATGGTTAATAGCACTTGTTGATCTTGCAAAGGACCTGGGTTCAGTTCCCCACAACCACACGGGGGCTAGTGACCATTTATAACCCCAGTTCTAGGAGATCTGACACTCCCTGCTGGTCTCCACGGGCATCAGACACATATGTGATGCACACAGGCAAACACTTACATCATAAATCCCAACCTGGTACAGCTCAGTCAATTCCAATGTTCTCTGTAACCAAGCGCACCTTAAACTTGCTACAGCCCCTGGAGTAGCTAGGATGACAGATCTGTGTCTCCAGGCCTGGTTTCTATCACCCTATAAAGCTAGTAAGACTGGGCTTGGTGCCACACACGCTTAATCCCAGCACTGGGGAGGCAGAGGGAGGCAGAGGAAGATGGAGCTCTGTGAGTTCAAGGCCAACCTGGTCCATATAGCAAGTTCTAAGTCAGCCAGGGCTCCGAAGAGAGACTCTGTCTCAAAACAAAACAACAAACAGTTGCTTCCAAATGACACATAAGTCAAGTGGATTCCAAGGGCGCCAGACAGTGACCTTAAAGGTGATGTTGCAGGAGATATTCCAGCATTGTATAAATAATGCAGACAGTGATTCCCCCCACCCCCGACAGGGTTTCTCTGTGTAGCCTTGGCTGTCCTGGACTTGCTTTGTAGACCAGGCTAGCCTCAAACTCATAGCGATCTGCCTGCCTCTGCCTCCCTGAGTGCTGGGACTATAGGCGTGCGCCACCGGGCCCAACTAGAGACAGTGACTCTTGCTGTTCCATAACTTTCAGAAACATGAGATTGTGGAAAACAAAAGCCATGGCTCTTTTTGTCTGGATGGAGACAGAGAGGCACATACCTGTTATTCATTTACCAGTTGCTTCTCCAGTCAGGACACTGGGGGATGACTCACCCCAAATATAGAGGTATCTATGACTGTGTCCACTTCTCTCCCTAATATGTGCCAGAGACCCAGAAACTACAAGCTACCCAGGGCTCAGCTGCAGGACAGGCCATCATGAAGACCTAGAAGTGAACAGCCTGAATACTGGCAAACAGGGGATGGAGACATGGCTTGGCGGATAAAGTGTTTGCTTACTGCACAGGACCTAAGTCTGGACCCCCAGCACCTGTGTGAAAGGCAGGTGATAGCATTTTGCACCTGTGAACATTAGTACTGGGGAGGCAGAGCTGCGATCTCTGGGCCTCACTGGCTAGTCAGTCTAGCTGAAATCCAGCTAACTCTAGGTTCTGTGAGAAACTCTCAAAAAATAAGGCGAAAGGGCCGGAGAGATGGCTCAGCAGTTAAGGATATTTATTGCTCATGAAAGGACTGTGGTTTAGTTCCCAGAGCCCACAGGGGATCCCGTGCCTTCTAACCACCCCAGGCACCAGGCACATACACGGTGCATATACATACATATAAGCAAAACACCCATACACATAAAATAAATCCTTAAAAGACATGATAAGGTGAAGCAACATAGGAAGTTACTCAAAGTCAATCTCTGGTTACAACATGTGTATATAGAGCCAAACACACCTGCATGAGCACACACATGCCCAAACAGGCACAACATACACACACACACACACACACACACACACACACACACACACACACACACGTTGGCAAAGGACAGAGGCAAGAGAGGCCAGCAGTGAGCAACCAGGTTCAGGCCCCAGGGTCTGGGGTATCAGACAAAAAGAAGGGAAGACAGGAAATTCTCCAGGACACAAGGATGAGGGCTCCTCCTGGGTGGGTATTTTTCAGTGTCAACATGCTCAGGAAGAGAGGGTTGGATGGGATCTAAGTATTTCAGCTTCAGCAACCTGGCCCTTTCCCACCTGCCTGTTGACATGCAGGGCCCAGCCACAGAGCGCTCTGCTCAGATACCATGACAGAAATTCAGAACGGAATCAAGCAGTCTTGATGAGCTCCCTGTTTAGAGAGGGAACAGAGAAACTTAGACCCCACGCTGCCAGAGGCCTCACAGCAGAGCTGCTAGAGAAAAGAACGAGCAAGTGAGAGGATGGGGAAAAGCCTCCAGAGGCTGAATTTGAGATAGGCTTGACTGACTAGAAGTCACCAACACAAAGCAAGCTTTGGAGACAGCCTGTTCTGGACGGAGGTATTGGGACGGTGGAATGAGCCAGGGCGGCTGGCGCTTGGAAGCAAAATGGAGGTAGAACATTCTGCTGAAAACAAAGCCCAGCTGTGCGAGGTCTTGCTTGCCAGGACTCAGGCTTCATCCTGTGACATTGGGTTGGTAACTGGGGAAGCCCCACCCCCCCAACTCCCCACCTATGACTCCGCTTCAGAACTTTCTAGTCCTGGAGGATGGACCCTCTGCTTCTACTCTCTTCCTTTTTCCTGATGTTACCTATCAACTTTCTCATACGGCTTTGGAAACTTCTACAAATCAAAAGGTTTCCACACGTTTGAACTAAATACGGGTACTGTGCCTTTAGAAGAGTTGGATATGAGTTATTTGTGAACTTTGTTACTGGAGCTTCAAAACACAGGCACAACACAGGAGGGCCTTTGCCCTAACCCTGAGGGGCCTAGAGGCAGATTTAGAAGGAAGATTATACTCCAGAATTGGCTCTTCTTGGGAAAGGAAGGTCCAGGAAGCCTGTGACCTAGTTCTGTTTATCTCTTCTCCATTGCCTCTTAAAGGTAAAGGCCACCTTAGACTATCTCAAAAGCCTGTGTGACTTAGGTAAAAGGGTAGGCTGTTTTCTCAGATGGGAAGTGAGGCTGAGATACTTCCAATCAGAGGTTTTACAGTTTGTTGTTTTTTGTTTGTTTGTTTTGGCTTTTTGTCTTAGGGCAGAAAAAGGTTTTTTTAGTGTTGGGAGTTAAATTCAGGCTCTCTGAGGGCTAGAGAGATGGCTCAGTCGCTCAGGGCTAGCTAGGCTCAGAACAACTTACAAGCTTGGCAGGAGTTCTACCACTGAGCTATGGTCTCACCCCTGCTGCTTGCAGGCTTCTTAAGGACCTAGACTATAGACATGAGCCATTGTGATGCCTGGGAATCACTTTTTATTTTCTTTGAACAAAACTTTCTTTTCTAGCTGGATGTTGGTGGTGCACACCTTTAATCCCAGCACTCAGGAGGCAGAGGCAGGTGGATCTCTGAGTTAAGAGGCCAGCCTGGTCTACACAGTGAGTTCCGGGATAGCCAGGGCTACACTGAGAAATCTTGTCTCA